GAGAGAGAGAGAGAAAGAGAGAAGACATTGGATCTCTAATGAGTAGTTATGATTAAATGAAAACTCAAATATATTTCCTGTTATATATATCCCCTCCCCCCCGGTTCTCCCTCTATTATTCCACCTTCTCTTACCCCCCCCCCCCTCGCCCTCAAGTCCTCTACCCCTTCGTGTTACCCGTCCACGCGAATCTGTCGGGCCTAGAACGTCGCTCTCGTTAGACCCAAGAAGTAAATAATTCCACGCTATGAATTTACCATGCCCATTTCGAGTATCGATCGTAGTTAGATCCAATCGAACCGTTACGACGAAACGAAACGCGTTGTAGGCGATTCTCTACACACCGACACCGACACTGACCCACGTGTAAAACACACACACACACACACACACAACACACACATGCCACGTGCGCACAAACTATGCCACGTGCGCGCAACTCTCTAACACGCTATCTTATTACTAATCGTACTGTAACTCTTACGAAATGCATAGCCCTGTGTATATATATATAATGCAATGTTCTTACCGTAGTTACATTTGCGAGAGAAAAAATTTGTGCGATCAAAGCGTGAGCTATATATTTAATTTATTTCACAAACAAACACACACACACAGACACGATACACGTACACGTACACGCTCGCGAAGCGAAGCGCGAGGCGATCATGTTTGTATATTTCGAAATCGTTATTAGTACCTGCCTGACTCATAAACCTGTGCCATACCGGAAATCTCTTATCTCCTACGTCCCTTCTGTCGTTCCACCACTGTACCGCCGTCCTCCCTCCCTCGCTCCTCCCCTGCTGCGACCCGCTCTTGACGCGCAAAGTATTTTCCCTTGTACCCTTTCGCGGAGATGGTTGTATGTGTGCGAGAGGCAGAGTTAGTTGATCGAAATTCGACGAGAGCATTGGCTCCGGTGCCGAATACGTCACCGTCAATTAAGACATATCAACATCGAGCCCGAATCGCGGCGACAGAATTTGAATTTCACCTACCGATCCCCGCGCTGCTTTCCGCGGATTAATAGAACCCTATCCGTAATTTGGAACGCGGAGAGAAAAAAAATTTGAAATCGATACGTTCGATACTTATCGACGTCGTCGCGATATTTACGCGATATAAGCTTAAAGTCGCGTTGATAAATTATTATTGATGTCGAGTACAAAGTTAGTCGGGGCGATTAAGTTGATTGCGCTGCGGAGAAGTCGATCTTTCGGGCAAACGGGGAAAAATTCACTGTACAATTGTGTAGGAAAGATTGAATTATTTTCCCGGAAAGGTACCGCGCGTCATGAGGATTAAAAATATATATACATAATGGCGAAAGTATATTCGAACTCTGCCCCGATGTGTTTCCCGAGAAACGAGGAATTTAATAGCATGCGATAACGAGGGCTTCTTAGAGAATTTTTTACACGACAAAGCCGCGCGCAGAGGGGCACTTTCTGTCTCTTCGAATCCGAGTGTTCTTCAATTTTCACAATTGCGTTAGGGATATAGTGGTGGTCGAACTTCCGCCGGCCGTATATTCCCTTTTACCTTTTACCGTCTAATGTCCATTTCTACCAGCGCGGATTAACTTTAATCTCGGTTCAACTTACTTTTTCTAGTTCTAAGAATTGGAAAGAGATAAAAAGTAAGTCAGACCGAGATTAAGGCTCATCTACATTGATAAAAATGGACGCTCACGCCTCTTTGCACGTAAAAAAAACTAATTCTCTCAAAGTGCAGAAATAATTGAACCTCAATTGCGCATAAATTCAAGATAATTGGTATTGAAAATATATTGAAATTTACCTCGCGTAAGGTAAACGTTAAGGCCCGGTTTCACCAACGTCGCTTGACTTTAAGCTTGGCTTAATTCGTTGTTTGCCTCTTTCCAACTGTTACTCTGAAAAGAGACAAACCTGAATTAAACTAATTGTAAGATTAAAGTTAAGCGACGTTCAGTGAAACCGGGCTGAAGGCCTGGTTTGACCTGTGTCGCTTAATTTTAAGCGCTTGGTTTAATTCATTCTCTGTCTCTGTTACTCCAGGAGGAGACAAACGTGAATTAAACTAAAAAAAACGTCTCTTTTTAAAGTTAAACGACGTTTGGTGAAACCGGGCCTATGATCGGCGTTGTGACGTGCAATAGTGTTGCAGTTGAATCTCTTCTAATTTCGCCACCACAATGCAATGCTTATATGATATCAGCGTTTTTAAGTACGCGCGTTCGCGGCAGGGTAACGTTACTCCTATCTACCCCCCCCCCCCTATCGCTTATCTAAACGATTCTGTACGGTGAAAGTCTAACGCTGAACACATTGTATATACTGTGGGTTTATGGGAACGGCTCGCACGATGCACTCATTACAACTTACTCATTGTTCTCTAGTACGTTCGTTCTGAGCGGTATTCATCGGTTTTTTTTTAAAGGATCCGTATATATAGAGCGTTACCTTTAATGAGCGAACACTGAAGACGTCATTACTTTTTGTCCACGCCCTATCCCCCCCCCCCCCATGATTCGTATTTTTTATTGTATGATCATAAGATGTAGATTATCTATAAAATGCTGTTTATATAGGGAAACAAATTGTTTAGTTCGTAAGATTTTAAGATTCGCGAGACCGTGAGGGAGAGAGTGTGAAAGAGAGCGAGAGAGTGAGAGCGAGAAAGGAAGCTACACATCACCTGGTATGTTGTGGGCTTACGAAAGGGATGCGTGGAGAATGAAGAAGACTCTATTAGTCCTATCGTGAATGTACTATTAAAGAAAAAGATGTAATGAAAAGTTAAAAAGTATTCTTAAAGATCAATCGCATTGTATTCATTTCATTGTGCAATTAAGCTGCGTCCGAGATTATAACTAGGCTTACGCGATTACGAGGTCGAGCTCGCACGCGAGCTGTAAGGAATGGGTGTCAGAAAAAGAGGAGGGGGAGGGAAAGGAGAGACCATCCTCGCCGCGTCTGGATCTTCCATCGCGTTTTCTTACTCTCTCTCTTTTTTTTTTTACTTTTGCCATTTCACGGTGGAATTAATTTCGAGTTGCTGTTGCAAAGCGTGGACGCTTTTCTGTGTTATAAA